ACACTTTCTAGATCCACTTGGTCATAGAAGTCTTATGTGGTACTTCTATTTGTGGCGAGGGGGTGGTAGGATGAGGCCAACTCCTGGACAAGAATTATATAATGTTCGATACGATATATCCTCCTCCAAGAGTAAAATACTATTCCTTCTTCTTGGTCCAATACTCTCCTATGGGTCTGCTAATATGAGGTACGTTGAGAGCTTGTTGTGTACTCAAGTTATCATTCTAGAGAGAGGACTGGATCCCGCCTTCTAGATTACTTGAAGCTGGTACATTGGGTTTCGTTCATTGGGGGCTTGCCTGGAGTTAGTGGTAATAAGTCATCACTTTAGTAGTAGACCATTGGGGTTACCCTCAGTTAGTATATAAACTGCATTCCAAATGGTGGACAGGTTTGTGTGTCTCTCAGCTGATCCTATTGCAACAGTGTTGGGTATAAAAAACGTACAGATTGATCCACAAGCCCAGCGTGTGCATCAGCTTGAATACTTCCACAGGTAGGGTGTCGTTTTATTAGGCTAGAGGTAGCGGGTTCAAATCTTGCATAGTACATTGTTAAGGTACTTATTGGTCCGTCACTTGACTGAGCTTCTTATCGCAGTCTGGCCTCTGGTTTCCAATACACCAACTTTCAAACGTGTAATTCCCATGATCCCACGCGCTGAAATTTCCCTAGAAAATCCTTGGTGTAGATTTCCCGAAAAGTTGCCACCATCGGCCGTAAGCCTCTCGAGAAGACCAGTTGTGGGTTGTGCGGGGTAGTAGGGCAGGGGTATGACATTAGGCAGTCTATTCTTAACTCAGTACCCAGCACAAGTCGGCAGCCGGATAGCTTCCCCCTGTGGATGCAGAATATGCCATTACTGTTGGTATTCAGAGGAGGTCACTTCGAGAGGCCCTGCCAACTGTTGCCCAGCATGTGGGCATGCGGCTTGTACCTTTTCCTAATGTCACTCGAATCTGCGACACGAAGTAGCATTCATTGTTTCTGTATGCCCTCTAATGTTTAGTTCATCATCTCACATCTCTCAGTATAGCCCATGTCTACTACCCCAACTAATGTTGACCAGCAGCCAAGTGCTCCCATAGAGGGTTCCACCCTCACCAACACTGCAGCTGCACAGCAGCAGCTTGGGTCTGGTGAACACCCAGTACCTGCTGTGGTAGTGGCTCAAGAAGGTGTGCCTCTATCCGGCCAAGAGGAGGTCATCTTAGCACAGTAGAGTTGGTGAATCGACGACGTTTATGATAGGTAGCCGCGGCTGCGGATACTACTACACCCATTACCAAGCATTATCGTATAAAGCATATGGAGTTCCTGGGGTCGGAAAGATCATATCTCCTCCAGAGCGAAAATGGCCCCTGCCCACTTCTGGCTATCGCTAATGTAGTACTAGTGTTTATACAATGGGTAAGTGGGTATGTTAGGTACTCCTACTTCGTAATAAACTGCAACTCCATAAGGATATGAGCTCGATAAGCTTTGATGATCTCGTCGGTAGAATTGCCAATGTCATGTTTGATAATAACCCGGAAGGAGGGGATGTGGCCAAGGGTAGTAATGATATCATGGGGGCTCATAGGCATCTATTGGCTACTTTGAAGTGGAGTCTCTCATCTTTTCTGGGATGTCGGGTACTTGAGCGAGCCGAAGAATGAACTCTTAGCGGAGCGATGCTGGTATGATAGTAGTTGTTATGGTAGGTTTAGAAGATGCAGTGACGCTCTTACCAAGCCTAAATGAAGGTTTGGATATTAATGTGAAATTCGATTCTTGTGATGGTTTCGAGTTCACCCCCGAGCTAGGAGTGTTCGATCTCCTCGACATCACCCTCGTCCATGGTTGGGTTGTTAGCAAAGATGATTTATCTGCCTATCCGATACTTGGGCCGCTTACCTACAATCAAGCGATAGAGAAAGTCGTGGCATTCAACGAGTTACAGTCCCAGGCATTAGAGGGGAAGGGCTCGCCTATCGACCCCGGAACATATGAAGATGGTCTTGCTGTTAGCCAGTGGCTTGAGGACAACAGGTCGCAGATGACCTATGATGGATTATGCCAGATTATGGAACGCTTGAAAGACAATGAGATCGCGGTAGTGTTTAGGAACAACCATTTCGTTACGGTATTCAAGCCTCGTCCTGGGGAGAATGGAGAGACACACTTGTATGCTCTGGCGACTGATATTGGCTTTGCTAATAGTTCTGTAACTTGGGAGCGTATCGATACTCTTGATGGTGATACCTTGTACTACGACACCGAGTTCCATAGGGCTACTGGACAATCCCCAGCCTCGAGGCGGCAACCTATTGACAGAGCTGATGATGACCCGGACTATCTATTGGCGTTGAGTCTGCAGATGGACGATGATGAACGGGCCCGACGACGCCCTCAGACCTATGTGGGGCCTATGGGAGTTGCTATGGTCACTGATAGGAATGATGGCAACCAACGGAGTGGTCGATTACAGCAGCAAGAGGGTGGTCGTCGGAAGAAGAAGTTCTGTGTTATCATGTGAAGACCTCTCTCATCACTCACAGGGAATGACAAGTATCATTATTACAATGGAAGAGTATTTCCTCACTCATCTCTTTGAGGTACTCCCTTAAGGTGTTGTGCTAAACAGTGGTCAAACTGCTTGCGATGGGTATCGACATGGGTATCCAATAGGTTGCTTCCCATACTCCTCATAGGTACTACCCAACTCCTGATGTTGAACGTAGTAAGCCAGTATTCACCGACATCAGATTGTCTTTACTCGCTGTATACCCTTCTATAAGAGATGAATATCACCTCAGTTCGGCCCTCGAATGACATAACACCACAATTGAGTAATGAAATCATTGTTGAACTCCATGTAAAACATAACTGAGCGACGCGATAGATTCTTCTATCGACTGGTTCGATTAACAAGCCTGACTGATCCTAACAATGGCTACCAAACATGAAGACACATGAGCCTTCATGATGGTGATGACTTAAGAAAATCAATCATGTTTCATAACGATAGGAAATATACAAACGATTTCGAATTAACAGTCGAGAGCTGCAACTCTCTCCTCAACGACCGTTATAATCTCAGAGACGATGACCTTAGCAAGTGAGTCCACGGAAGCATCTTTGTCCACAGGCGTTTGGTCCAGGACTGTCTCCACTGGTGGTGGGGTGGGCTCCTGAACCTTCTTCCTCTTGGGTATTTTCACCTCCTCCTTGAAGCCTAAAATGACCTTGTTCTGTTGTCCTCCTCGCCTCGGTTGGTCAGCCGATAGAGGTCTCGGGCTTCTAGTTGTACTGTCGGGGGAGAGATCAGGTGTGCCGATTGAGAAGACCTAAAGGGAGCTAACAGTCCCTAGCAAGTAGCAGATGAGCACTTCTGGTAGCCGGGCTTGGCCCCCGAGACCAAGTGTAATCGGATCCGTCTTTATGTGTGGTCTAAGACGAGGCCGCCCCACTCCCCTACGACCGGCCATTGTAGAGTCGCAGCTTCTAGTGCGACGATTGGCTGTAGGTTGAGAGGATCTATCACGGTTCACTAAGTAGAGGTTGGAGTATCCTGACTTACATCATCCGTACTGTAGAGGATGAACCCATGCTCCTGGACGGATTCAATGTAGCACGGCCTCCTACACGACGGAGTCTAAACTCTTACTCAATACTACTCCCTACGAAGTGCTGTTGTTGCTGCCTCTCTATCCTCCTTCTCTTGGAGTCGCTTCATCAAAGCATCATGTCTTAGCTTCGACTCCTCGAACCTATCAGGTTACTACAATACTACAGTCGATAGTTGACGGCTCACAGACGATCATGCAGACCGGCTCGGACAG